TCCGTTGTTCCTTATACGTGCAAGTTTTATTGTTTGTAATCCTCTGGCATAGGAACCTAAACACAAACAACGAAGGGTCAATGATTGGCACATCATATGCCTAGGAACTAAATAGATATCTCTTGGCAATGAAGAATCTTTCATCGTCGATTCAGTAATTACCCATATCAAAAATCCTGGGCCTCGTGAGGTACATCACATGAGTAATGTAATCAGTCCAACATAATCGCCATTTGGAACTCTAGAGGACTTTGCTAGTAAGCTTTGGGCAGCTGTTCGAGATTCGGTCAGCCCTTTAGAAAGGCTGTTTCTTTCACGTATTCCTTGGGCTCTTTACTTATCATTGCTGCAGAGACGAGAGCGGAACTCCATGGCTAATGTGTAGAGTTGCTCCAAGATCTGAGACCACGAATCTCATACAGTTTGCTCTGTTGTTTACTTGTCATAACAGTCGTTTATGGGCTGTTTTGCGCCTGTTGGCAGGTACAGCTGCTTTATATTTATCTCTGGAATGTTTGATTCCTTTAAGTTGTTTTCCGTTAATGTTAATGCTTTAATTTATGCACTTGATATGTTCTGTTTAGGAGATACAATGGCCACCTATCGTTGTTTGCATTTTTTTCTCCAGCCCGGTTTGGAGCAGCATCATATCGAACAGCTGACCCGAAAGCTTTCGTTTTCTTTGAACGATCTGCACCTCCGACTGGTCGCCTCTGAACTTTGCTACTACGTGTTTCTTACAGGCGACGAACCGTTACCTCCAGATTTTAACGACAAAATTGTATGGCTGATTCAAAAGCCCTTCGGATCGCAGAAGGTGCTGCGAACATCCGTGTTACCTTTGACGGCCGATAATATAGTCCTGGAGTTCGGTCCGAGGTCTTCACTTTTTGCCGGTTAATTGTTTAGTATTAATTCATTTTCAGGGGTCAGATAACCACGTCCTTTAGCACCAATGCAGTCGCCGCCTGTCGCTCATCTGGCCTAGTCTCTGTCATTAGGATCGAGAAGTCAATTCGCTATGAAATTAACTACAACCAATTTCAACTTACTCCGGACCAACGCAAAGCGGTAAACAGTGCTTTTACGGCTGAAATGTTTAGAAATGTTTCTCTTCAAAGTCCTAATTCCAGTATCTCACGTGGTAGGATGTTACGACTGGTTCTCAAGGTAATGTGATGATGTGCAGGTCGAGTCTCTGACAGGTTCAGTCATGCTGTGAAAGCGTGAGAAATATGACCGTGCAAGTGGAAAACTGAGCAGTGATAAGTTGCGGCCAAATCTTTTAAGATGAAGTTATCGCAAAAAAAACACTGCCCTATTCCCCGCCGTCAATCGCAACAGCTGTTCAGGCACGGTAGCAATTTATTGTTTATGTAGATTATTATGGAATTAGGTCACACAACCGTTGTTGATTCTGGAGCAAAATCCACAAAGGTCTTGCATCTCAACTTTTTGCAGA